GTCCCCTCCACACACACCCCCGCTCGATCTCCCCCCCTTCCCTTCCCCCCCCGGCTTCGAAGCGAGGCCCAAGCAGCAAGCCGCTCGTGCCTCGCTGCCCTTCCTGCCCCTCCCACTGCCTCTGACCGCTCGGGCCTCGCTGCTCTCTTCCCCCCCCCAAGCGGCGGCGGTGAGGGAGTTCACAGAGCATTACTTTTGGGGGGATTTAAGTATCCCCCCGATATTTTTTTCAGGTTTTAAGATTTTTGTGCACACCTGGGGACCGTACCAAGTGTGCACAAAAATCTCCCTCCCCCCCTGGTGCCCCCGATGCGCGGATTTAGGTATCCGCACACAGGGGGCATCTTCGGAATTAGATATATAGATAACAATAGCAGCACCGACGGACCGTGATCCAGCTGTCTTTGGAGATCATCTGTCAAGGCGACCGACACTGTTTCTGTCCCATGACGGGGGCAGAAGCCAGATTAGAATGGGTCCAATGCTGATGTCTCATCTAATGCTCCCTCTAAGCTGTGGAGTCTTGTGAGCAAAAATTCTGCTTTGTGAGCCACTGGCATTAAAGTTGTGAGCAAGCTATTTGGCTGCTGCATAAATTAGTTTGCTTTGGAGCCATCCTTCCTGAGCTAAGACAAAAATGTGTGAGCCAGAGGCTCAAAAACTGTGAGCTAGCTCACACTAACTCAGCTTAGAGGGAACACTCATCCAGGTAACCCTGGATCTTTTCAGCTACCACCCTTACCCAGAAATGATAATTTTGAAACTAGGCAACTCTAGGACTGGCTGAAAAGCTGGCAGGTCTAGTATTGCCAACTGCCTGGAGAAAACAATGTCCTGTCTCTTTAATAGAGACTCAGTGGGATATTATTTGTCAGGTGTCATTTATCACCTCCATGCGATGAAAAGCTTCAGCTGCCCACGTCCACACATTAAAGGGACAGGACAGTTTTCTCCAGGTCTGCTGGCAACCCTAACCAGTTTTCTAGAGCCAAAACTATCTTGAGGAAGAGACTCAACATTAACTCTTCTGGAGAGGCAACGGGCTTCTTCTATTACCAAAGGGGAGAAAAAGCAATTGGTACTCCCACACCACAGGGCACACCTCTGAAATAATGCGTGTACTCAAGCCAAGGTCTTGGATGAGTTCCATTGAGTGCATTCCATTTTACCAAGTGGGAAAACCCCTGTATTGTGTATTCATCTACATTCTTTTCTTCTAAAGAACTGAAGGTAGCCATTTGATTGCTAAACAAGCTCGTATTGCTGGTTGCTCCATAACAGTAGTCGTTAAGGAGAACTGGCCTCTCCCCGAAAATACAAAGCTCATCTGTGCTGTACTCAGGTTATAAGGAACAAAAGCAACCAAACAAAAAAGACGTGAGGTTATCAGTCGTTGGCACTGATCAGATTTGCTTTGGCACTCCCATGCCAGAGTCCACATTTAAAGGGCTTGTACACAACAATTCAAATAGAACAGCCCATGGGCCTACTGTGCTACTGTGGTATATTATGGCCTTCATTATACCCTGCCTTTCTCCCCGACGGTGACTCAAAGTGGCTTACATTGTTTTCGTCTACTCCATTTTATCCTCACAACTACCACCTTGTGAGGCAAATAGGCAGAGAATGTGTGACTGGCCTAACGTCACCCAGCAAGCTTCATGGTAGAGTGGGATCTCCCAGATCCAAGGACAACACTCTCACCACAACACTACATTGGTAAGCACAGGACTAGGGTTTGGGAGACTTATATTTAAATCCCCCATCTGCCACAAAATTCATTTGGTGGCCTTGGGACAGTCCATCAATAGAAGAAGAAGAAGAGAAGAGATTGGATTTATACCCCGCTCTTCACTACCCAAGGGAGTCTCAGAGCGGCTTACAAACTCCTTTCCCTTCCCCTCCCCACAACAGACACCCTGTGAGGTGGGTGGGGCTGAGAGAACTCTGACACAAACTGCTCTTTTTCAAGGACCGCTGTGCCAGAGCTTGTGACTGACCCAAGGTCACATCAGCAGGTGCAAGTGAAGGAGTGGGGAATCAAACCTGGTTCTCCCAGATAAGAGTCCACACACTTAACCACTACACCAAACTGGCATGAGTTTCCCAGTGGGGGCAAACAGTGGCTTCCCAGGACTGTTTCATGTCATGAAGGATGGCGTCTCCTGACATGCCATGGCCCTAAACCATATTGGGCCCCCACATGGCTAAGAATTAAGTTCCAACTGGCCTATGTCTCGTTGGATAGGACCCAGTAGGTACTCGTAAGCAGTGCATGGTGTATTTATGCCAAATGGGTCAAATTACACAAGATGTTGGGATTCCATGACCTAGATTGTTTTTTAAAAACACAGCACTGAAGTAGAGGCCTAATTGTAATTCTTCTCCCTATGTCCATGATCAAAAATGGCCTCTTCTGCAAGATGGGAAAAAATATGCCTGGCACAATGTGGGTATCTGTGAGTACCTAGAGAGGGCTAGAGGATTTTAAATCAGGAAAACAGCGGGGGGGGGGAGCAGAAGAATTAAACTGTCACTTCCCTGGCACCATGGTCCTGAGCTGTATCATACACGCACACCCTAAAATCTTTACTGCCCCCCCCCCAAAAAATGTCTGGAGTTCCAGTCATGGGACATTAATGAAATAAGTGTTGGGGAAAATAGGCAAAAATACTTAAATATTCAGAGGTTTGCAATGGATCTTTGCTTCACTGGAGAGGAAGCATTTCTTTCTGTGTAAAAAGCTTTATTTCTAAGGGGAAAGGGTACACAGGAAACCTACAAAATAAAAGAGATACCTAGAACTACATCTTCACATCTTTACAGCTACAAACAGACAGACCACATGGTCACACAACAATGGAGATTCTTCTTCTTCTTGACCCCTAGAAGGAAGTCACCTGATTACATTAACAAATGATTGCTAGTAAACAGACTTAAGATTTCCAACTATCTTTCCATTGGCTCTGTGCCAGGTTTCCTTCTGGGTCAGGCTAAACAATAGCACACAAGGTAATAGATTAACCCTATAATGACTGAATCTTAGACCTTGCAACTCACATATTTCCAACAATACTTTGATTTTGAGATAGCCTGTGTACAGAAATCAGGAAAGAAAGTCAGCCTCCATTTTATATTCTCCACTCCTCCCTGTGGAAGCCCATATTGGGGCTGTTGTATACATCTGGTATCCCCAACTGATAAATTTGTTGTGGTGTTTGTACCATTCTACTTGCGTATGGAAAACTGAGGGTGGTGCATTTTTCGTTCCCCCACACATGCATGATATTTGCCCAGACCAACTTGTCCTCTAGGGATACAATATGCTGTCTGCAGTTCAAACTACACCTCACCAGCTGCAGTACATGCAACAGAAGGCTCTACATGCATGGTACCTCCACTGCATGTGCATTTACATGCACATGGATTACTCTGGCAAGATGCATTCATATACACCTCACTCTCAAGAAGGCCAATTCATACATGCCCCCTTAAAGCTCTTTTAATCCTTTCTCTCCCTGTCAGTGTACAAGTCTAAACCAACACAATGGCAGATTTAAATGACACAGCAGCCTTCCCAACTGCGTATTACAATCCAGTCTTTGAGATCCTAAGCTGGAAGCTGAACTGCAAAGAATGACAGCTCTAGGACTGTCAAACAAGGCATCGCCAAATTAAGCAGAGAGTATGACCAGAAAGTAGAGTCTGTCCCCAGTAAACAGGGAAACCTGGAACGTATATCACAAGGCTAATGGACTTGTGTTCCTCTCACTCTTTGAGAACTACATTGTGCTGGGGGGTTTTGTCTCCATTTGTTTGTCAGGGACTTTGGACCTCATGACAGAGGCTAGGATCTAGCCTAGAAAGCTCCTCAGGGCTCCATGCAGGACTCAGGGCTCTCTTCGGGCACAAAGGTGTTCAATACTGGCAGACAGTAAAAAAAAAAAATGTGGATTGGTTTCATTATTGGCATCTGGCTCTCACAAACAGTACATCAGAAGACTGATTTATATCTGGGCTGTACCCCTTTAGATTGCAAACAGGCTCACATGATATGATGCTTCATCATGAAGAAACATTCCTGCATGAAGAAAGCTAACTTGGCAAGGGGAAAACTGGACTAAAATCCTTCTAGCTTTCCACATGCTAGGAAGTTGCAGGACTGCTGGGATTATACAAAGTATTTGAGAACAGGCCAGGACAATGATGGAATCATAGAGCTGGAACTGACCTCCAACCCCCCTGAACAATGAAAGAAATTCACTAATACCACTCCTCCACATACACCCCTGTTCCATGCCTAGAAGATGAAAAAACCCCTCCAGGATCCCTAACCAAACTGGCCTGAGAAAAATTGCTTCACAGGAGGTGGTGGCGGCTACAAGCATGAACGGCTTCACGAGGGAATTAGATAAAAATATGAAGCAGAGATCCATTAGTGGCTATTAGCCACAAGGTATAGATAGAAACTCTCAGTCTGGGGCAAGTGATGCACTGTC